CTGCATCAGTGTTCTATTGTCTGCCCATCTGATTGCACTTGTCTCTTCTCAGAAGTAGGTTTCCTCTTTGTTCTCTGTTTATCTTTCCATTTCTTCTGTAATTACTAAGCACTCTCTGCTTATTAGAGACAATTGCGCTTGGATTAAAGACTTGAAAGCTATATTACATGATTATTTACTTGTGCAACAGTCGTACTTAATCCATTATTTGGATGTTCTTCCATTAGAATTTATGAATGAATAATGAATAAAGACGAAGAAGATATTTGAAAGGTTTAAGTGTCCTTTCTGTTTAAACTTTGCTACCATCTTATAAGAAAAGTTTTGGTAATGATTGCATTTTAAGAAGTAATATGCAAAAAATGATGCTGATAATGAGTCTGACATCTTTAGCTGTTTGTTAAAAAAGACCAAGAAATCAAACATTATTCAGAACAATCTATTTGATTTTTCTCTTCAGAGAAACTTGAGCCAAAGGCAGTGCTGTCCATTAGTGTCTACTGATTAATTTTTTGGATGTTACAATGTCAGGAAAAGATCTTTGTAATTTTACATGCTTGTTCCTTCATTTTCATTTCTATTGTTAATGAGTATTTTTATTACATTCTTAAGTTCCAGAGTTTCATATCACGAAAGTGAACATTTAAGACTCTATCAGTTACTTTATTTGCAATGCAGTGTTAGATCTATTGCCACTTTCTCCTATCAGAAAGTTGTTTACATATCAAGATATCCAATCTATAGTTACAAGAGCCAGATCAGACCAAAAATATATTGTTGCCATATTTTGGTTGGAGCTGCCCAGACCTCACTTTCCTGTCTTAATAGTTTAAAAATGTCTATGCAGCCTTGTGAGTAATGGATTATTTTCCACCAAAAAGCCCCTTCCCCCTCAGACGAAACATTGCAAGCCTCTCACTTCTCTATCGCTATTTCCATGGCATGGGTTCTGATGAGCTACATTTCTTAGTTCCACCACCCCTGATCCTTATAACTGGCAGCTGCCATACCTGTATACAAGGGTGAATCATCCGCATTCTCAAGAACTGCTACTTTTTGATTCAAACGCCCAGCAGGATGTTTTCCTAATCACTACAATCTTGACCTCTTCAACTCCATTATCTCTCTTGCATAGCTCCATGAAGTTCACTTCTTGCTCTTTCTTACACTCCTACAACACCATGCCCTCTAGCTTGAACGGCTCTTAGGCCTTGTATTGGATGAACATTAGTTTAAAAAAAATGTTTAAACATTGTAAGCTACAAAGAACTTTTGTTGAATAAGCAAGACTGAATAGTGACTTTAAGCAAAATTCTTTGTCTTAGACTTTTGAAATTTTCAACTCTGCTCAGTTTTGTATCCAAACATAAACAAAGCAATTTCTAAAGAAATGAATTTTTGAGTGCATATTCTCCTATAGTAAGATTTCTCAAATATTCAGGCTGGTAGATGAAAACAAATATGCTGTTTAATAAAATAAACAGAGCTTATACTCAAATACAAGTATCTGCTAAAAATAACGTTTTTAAAAGTGATAAAATCTGTCGGGTTAATAAATAAAAAATACACTTTAATCCGATGAAGCTCTAAAAAAAAATTTTTTTTTTTTCCACTTTGTCATAGATTTTAGTAAAATTCAATTATCTGAATTTTTATTTTTCAGCAATTGGTGCTCATGAGTTGCTAAAAGAAGTGATTAGCAAGGTGCAGGATGTGTGTTTGAACCTAAAAGGCACCTTACCGAAATTCAAAGTGCCTGATCGTAGCTATAAAGTCAGTGCTTCAGCAATTCGAAACAAACGACGCAAGATGGAGGACAGACACATCATCCTGCCCGACATCAACAATCTTTTTGCCTTGAAGGTAAGAGAAAAATAAACCTTCATTATAAGAAACACAAGTAAGACACTTACCAGTCAATATTAAGACAGTTGTTTTTTTGTTTTTGTTTTTTCCTTTCTATTTCTGTACATAACTCTTTTCAGAAGTTTTCTTACTGCCCAAGGATCTCTTAATTATGCCAAGTACATAGCTATGATATCAATGATCATTTCAGTATTCCATTGAGAGAATATTTCTTTTCAAACTATTTACAGGTCTTCTAACACTAAATGCATTGTAACTGACAAAAATATGCTACTTAATAACTCGGCGCCAAATTTTGAGGTACTTAAAATATATTTACCACACACTTCACAATTTAGAAAAGATTATTGCAGGCAATTCTAGACTTCAAGCAATTCTTTTATATCCCAAGCCCTCAACACTACCTAGATACACTTTGCATGAACCATAATAGAATTATTTTCTTTCCCTGAGAAAGGCTATTTAGAGTTTAATATTGGCAACTATTTTGTTATTTTTTTATGTGCACATGGCATGTTCCATTTGTCAAGAAAGTGATCCCAGTATGTAGCACCTTTGGAAAGTGCTTGAAACACATATCATAGGTTGATCCAAGCTTTGTGAGTGAAAATGGGTAGATGGAACTATTTGTGCTATCAATGGTTGTGTTAGCATGAAGTCAAGTCATCGTGACCAAGAATATGAGTGTACTGGCCTTGTTCAGATTGTTGATCATGCCAGATAATGCGCTTTTCTCTCCCAGGAAAGGTAACGAAGGTCCACTCTGCATTTTGCATTATAAACCACAGGTAGGCTCTGTGGGTGTTGAAAAAAAAAATGTGCCTGGGCAGGCCTCTGCAATGAGGATTGACTAGCTGCTTTAATAGACAGGCATAGTTGAATACAAACACCCAGCCATGTTTTGTCATCTGAAGTTGATTAGTGAGTAAAGATTGAATCTTTAATAAATATCTGATGAATTGATTTTGTTTCTACTTTGGTTAAAAGGTTTTGCTCTTGTCTTATTTACAGAATGAGTCTCTTCTTGGATGTAAATAAATTCCAGAAAAAAAACCCCCAAAAGTTTCCAGAATTACTGGAAATGCTTTTTTTTTTTTTTTTTTTTTTTTTTTTTTTTTTTTTTTTTTTTTTTTTTTTTTTTCTTTTTTTTTCCCTGTTAATTAAATATTGATTACCTACCATGTTCTTCAAAGTTACTTCCACCCTTTGTGTGTAGATATGCAACGTGAACTACGGATATATATATATATCTATCTGTATAAAGTCTGTATTATATACATATAAGGTAAATATCTCTCAAAGATGGTGCGTTCTCCAATATATGTCTGTAATGTTAACCGAGTTACAAAACTGGAGTGTGTTTACCATTCCTCTCTCTCGCTTCACCATCTCACCTATTCACTTGCCGACCCATTTTTTATTCTGGTGCTTTCTGTAAAGATAAGTCCGTTTAAAATCTTTGGCAAGTGATGCCCATTCTCGCATCACTGTGTTCACTTCATGTACACCTGCTTCATGTAAGCAAGTACACTGAGCCATATTGCAGATTTAACTTGACTTCTTACAACCCAAATGTTATATCAGGTTTAGTGTTTACTTAATTTAGTTTTGAGATAGATTTTATTTTTTCCTGAAAATGGAAAATAAGAAATTTGTAACCTATCCATGTATCCCAATCGAAGGGAATCAGTTGTTCAATATTAAATGAAACAAAGTTGTGTTTCCTTACTATGTTTCTATAACAAACTGACAAAATGTGGCTACAATTTTGAATTATGGAGGGAAAGAAATTAATATGTCTACATTTGCATTGTAATATGATAAAGATAACTCTATAAACATACACAATCAATGCTGCCTTCTGTTTTTCTTTTTAGATGATCTTTTATATTTTTTCTTCTTTCTAATGCTTTTACTTTCTCGTGTCTTTTTCGCTTAGCCTTTTTCAACCATTGATTATTTTGCTCTCTCTTTTTTATTTATTTTTTTATTTATTTTTTTTATTATGGACATCCATTTAAAAAGAAATACATAGTTTGTGAATATGATGTAATTATTCCTTTTAGTGATGTATATCAAGCAAATCAAGTTGCTATAGAAACACAGATGCCTCAAAATACACTCTCCTCCTCTAAAGATTGAATAGAGTGTCTCTCAGTTTGTATTAATTATAGCAAAGCAGCATTGCTGCCATGAGGTCATCATCTGTTTCTTGGTTCTCATAGGACAGTGTACACTGTATAGAGATGGAACAAACAGGCAAAATTTCTTCATTGTTACATTTATAACTGGAGCAGGAAGTAAATAGCCATGCAGTTTTCTTAAGGAATTCATAAATATTTTAAAGATATTCTCCTGTTAGTGAAAAAAAAATGTTTCTTTTTTCATTCATTTTCTTAATGTAATATTAGATTGATGTAGAGGTTCCCAGTGCTGCCATATGTGTAATGCTAGGGAAAATCTTTGTGTCGTTAAAGTTTATATGCAGTCAATCAACTATTTTAATAGCATTTACAGTCTTAGGAAGAATTCAGAATATATGAAAATGGGTTCTACATTGTCTTAGAGCAGTGGTACCCAAACTTATTCTTCTCTGGGTCAAATTTTCGGAATTAAAATTTACTCATACCTCACTAAATTTTATGTGATAAAAAGTACATTTAAAAATAAAAAATAGGCAGGAGGTTAAAGGGGAGATAACCATGGATTTGAAATCATAACATTGTCATTGATAACTCTATCCTTCAATTTGGAGACCCTAGTTACTATATTAATACTTGATATAATACAAAAGTATAATAGTAATAAAATCGGTCAATAATTATTTACAACTATTTATACTGGGTCTCATGTACACAATTACAAGTAATCCATAATAATATCTTAAATTTTGAAATTTAAACTGTTTCTAAATCTTTGTCTTTCAATCATTCCATTTCACCTGCTATCCTCTTCAGCCACACTGTTTGGGAACCATTGTCTTAGAGAAAGGAACACTAGTCGATGTTTAAACACTTGTCTTTAACTGTTTGCTTAATATAAAAAAAACAAAAAAACAAAACATTTTTGTGCTTGGTAATCACTAGTGGTGTAAAATTGATTTCTTAAAAGAATTGGCTTATTGCCATATTTTGTTGAAACACCGATTCTCATTCGATGCCTGAAGTTAAGCAATGTCAAGCCTAGTTAGTACTTAAATGGGTGACCACTTGAGAATACCAGGTGCTAAGCTTCGATGTGCAGTGGTGTAATGGATAATGGCTCAGTATCAGAAATCAGTGAGATGAAAACCAATTCTAGTTAGGTACGTTATATTCAACTTATGTGCAAATAACTTTGAGAAAGATATAACTCCATCTCTTCTCCCCACTCAACTATGTATCACTGAAAACATTATCTCCACAAAAAAAATTCTTTCAGTTTAAAAATATTTTCTGGCTTTAAATAACCTAGAAAAGTTTAAGCTGTAAAAAAAAAAAAAAACAATTAGTCAATGTTAAAAGAATTGAAAATGAAGAAAGTTGTGGCTAGATCTAAGGTAACTTTTTATCAACTTAACCTAAACAAAATCTGCTGGAAGAAAACCAATGTTTTGTGTTTAATGAGTTAGAGGGAATCTTTTATTAATTTCTCAAACAGTAATAATATTTTACTATACAAGCACAATGGTGAGCATTTGTCTCACTTAATACATTGAAGAAAAAACTTTCTCTGTACAATGTACATGGAAGTTGACCAATGATTTTTTTTTTTTTTTTTTTTTGCTACATTGATTTTCATGTTATAAATAGCAAATGCCCATGGAGCTGGGATTGGAAATTCTTCTACATGTAGTGTATTCTACTTTAAACCATCTCTTATTTTGCTCATTACAATATTTTTCTTTTTAATATTAATATAATAGTGATAATTTTAATATTTCAACCCCCAACTGAGTGAAAAGATATTAGAAAAAGAAAAATCATTAGGAAGAGAAAAATAAAAGAACAGGAATTAAGAAGACAAAACAAATTTAAATTTTTGAAGATCAAAATTGATTGGAAAGCAAAAAACTGAAAAAGTTCCACAATGAAAAGTGCAAGAGAAGAAACTGTTAATATAAAACTTAATTACATTTATCCACTTCAACTGTAAAATGATGAAATCTAACTGCCAATTTAGTACTGCACTTAAATTCATAAAGTCAAGGTACTAAAAAGGAAAGCTCACCAGAAAAATTGCCAAGAACATATTTTACAATATGGCGGTGGGAAAATAACTTAAGCTGAGATACCAGGTCAGGAATGATAATATTGTACATGGTGGTCCGAAAGTCTTGTCACCTCCACACATATATGTGGGTGCTGCCAAGGAGAGTTTTGCATGAACAATAGCAGAATACCCACCAGTTGAAGGATGCCTTTGCAACAATCAACAAAGCATGGCTTCATAAAATATTACAAAAGACATGGCGCTGCATCATTTTGTGCCATAAAAATGGTGTTCATACAAACCTTCTCAATATCTGACAACATCAGTGAAAGTGAATAAACTGAATCCAGTACATCTGCTTTGTATTACTTTGTATCTTCTCTCATTACTTTTTTGTAGAGTGTAACAAGACTTTCGGACCACCAAGTAGTTGGGTTTTATCAAGAATCTCTAAATACATAGCAGCAGATTTATCTAGTCAATGGTACTAACAGTTTCAAGATATCAGTCTCAAGAATTTGTGTGTCATAATTTAGCTGAAAGGTGTTATAAGGTCATAGAAGGCCAGGGAAAGTATTTTGATGGCTGATTGATGACATTGAATTTATAAGCACTATTTACATTCTTTGGACTGTTGTCCTCCTCTTTTTTTTTGCTATATCCACGTTGTTTCAGTTGTTGTACACTTCTTCAGGTGATTGAAATTTTGAACTGAACCCTTTATTTTGTCCAGACTGTTCTAGTTCCACGTGCCATGCCTCTTCTGGGTGTTTCTTCCTTTAACTTAACTCTCTAAGTTTTTGTTCGCCAATGCAGTAGCCAGGTATTGAACTCACAACTCTTAGGGTCAAGTCACTGGATCCAATGCTTTTATTCGCTGGACCATGTGTCCTTGAGGACAACAGTCTGAGGAATGTAAATAGAGCAAATAATTACAATACCTCATCTCAGAAATATAGACAGATATTGTATTTATAAGGATGAGACCTTTTGTTTAATAAAATCCTGGAAACCTTTGCTTTAACCTGTAGTAACAGGCTAATTCAATAAATAAACTAAAAAAATATTACCCTGAAAAGTATCACCTACATATCATCTTAGTATCTCATTAACACCCGCATTCATAAGGATTGGTCAATCAGCTAACTTAATTTCTGAAACCAGATACTTGGATAAGCAAAACAAAAGATCAAAGACCCTGTACCAAAGTGAAGGACAATCCTACACGCTCATTGCGCTCCAGACCACCTACTGACCTTAATGTAAAAGTGGGCATCAAGATCAGTCCTCTCTACTCTTTCACCAGAAAGTAGGACAAGCTGATCTACTACTCCTAACAACCTGTTGCACAACAATGATACAATTTGTATTCATAAAAAAAGAAAATAAACCTTCCAAAACAACGTTCACTCAACATTCATTATTCTGAATGTAAAAAACCAACATTTTGCACCAATCTCCACAAACCTAATTTTTAAAATTTACTGAGAATATATTTACCTCAGTGAAAAGCATATTGTTTTCATTTTTATATTATTTGAAATTTCTCATTCAGCATTAATTTTTAAGTAATTATTTAATGAATGCCTCTTTTATTTTGATATTATCAGGGACTTTGTTTATAACTTCCTTTAAAAAATGATTGTAATTAAATATTTAAAATTTTAATTATAGATTTGACCAGCACTAAACAGACCATCTGTTAGAAAAGGATATTTTGCCAAGCTTTAAAATTTAACTTTTCTTTAACTGGGTTTATGCTGACAAAATTGATTAAAGAACTGAAATGTTTACTTTGCATTTTCTCCTTCACCTTTGGCACCAAAACTCCAAGAACTTTTGTGTTACTCAACAGCATGTTATGATTAGTTTCAAAGCTTGATGATTTGCAATACCTTAAGTGATTGCAATCAATATATCATTGACAATAATGTTACTGGCAAACTAACTGCTATCTTACCTTCCTACTTCCATAATCACTTCAAATAGTGAAGCAGTGCATTTACTCTCCACTACTTAATGTTTACACTTCACATTCTTACTGTTGATTGCCATTCATCATATCATTCAATCAACAAAAACAACTTTAATAGTTTTGAATAATCTTAGAGATTTTTCCTCTTGAAGTGTAATGTCCCTTCAGGACATAGTTGATTATGGCTCTTCATAGCTTTGTTTTCTTTTCCTTTTTTTTCCTCTTTCATCTTTTTTTCCTCTGTCATCTTTGTTTCCTCTCTTTCCCCACATTTTTTTCCTCACCTTTTTTCTTTTTTTTTCTATAAACTTTTCATTCCCATGATTGTCTTTGGTAGGAAAAATAGGTGTAGTTTCTCACTGCAACTTTTACTTTTGAATTCAATTGTTTTTCTCTTAGACTGGTTGCCAACCAAGGTTAGAGATCCCTGTCTGCTTTTTTCTCATAGCTGGATATTCATACATTTACTAAATATAAATTCTCTCTGCCTGAAATTGAACTCTGTTTACCAATTCTGTTTTTGCACTGTTAACTGTAAATCCACTCATCTCCCTTTAACAGATTAAATAAATTCTTACACAAATGTATCGATGTAAAATGTTTATTGTAATTTATTATAATAAAAATATAATGTATTTGTATTGAGCACTTTTAAAAAATAAATTCTACAAACTCTGGATTTCTACTCCATCTGTTCTTTCTCTTTTGGATATATATGTATATACACACACACACGCACACGAGTGGATGGATATGTCCACCTACAAAACTCTGGAGTCAGGATGCTGAAGTTAACATCAATCAGTTAAGTTTCAAACTTTTACTTGCCAACAATTATTTTAATGTATTTTCTGTTTTTATTTTTTTGTTTTTTATAGATTCAATTATTTAAGTAAATGTTCTGTAATTAATGTAAGTAATTAATACTGTTTATTATAAACAAAACATTTACTTAAATAATTGTATGTATAAAAATAATATAAACAGAAAATATATATTAAGAAATCAGACAGCAGTTTGAATTCAGGTTGAGTTCATGCATTTACATGCTAATACCCTTGAGAAATGTATGTAACCAGAACCCTGCCTCCCAGCTATGGGTAAATAGTAGTACAGACTGGGTCTATAGCCTTGAATGGCAAACCTTCTAGAATCTAAAACCTACGGATTGTCGTTTGGGGCCTTGTGGCATACTGTGCACCAGTTCTCTGTATTAAGCTCTTCCAAAAAGTGTGGTTGGTTCAGCAACAGCCTTCACCACTATAATCAAATGATATGTGTGGGTAGTCTGGCTGTTGGTTCTAAGAACTCACCTGCTTGACCATCATACATCAAACAATGGGAGAGTCTAGTGTGTATATATATATATATATATATATATATATATATATATATATATATAATCCCTAAAAAACAAAAAACCAGCAAGGTTTGTTTATTTAATTTTTTTATTGTATTTTTCCAATTTTCAGATAAGGTGTTGAATATTGCGCTCAAAAGTGTGGATAAAATGTCTGAAGTTCATATCTTGTTATTTTTTTCAATTAATTTTGACTTTCACAGTCATTATCAGGAAGCAATATGGTGTCTGTGTGATAGAATTCCTTTGTCTGCATCCTGGTATTGTTTGGGAAGCTGGACTTTTGAAATGGTCTAGCGTGATGCCATGTGTAACAGCTATTGGGAATGAGGCCACACAAAAATGCTGCAATTTATTTATTTTTATTATTATAATACTGATAAAATATGGGCACACAATAATTATATGCGTTTCAAGATACATTCTCCTTTGGTGGTGGATATTATATATATATATATATATATATATATATATATATATATATATATATATTTTAATATCTAATTAAATAAAGATAATTATATATATATATTCTAGTTTTGTTTTAGAATTTGCACAAATCCGTATCAATTCTAGCTTTTTGAATTAATGAAATTTTGATGCCTTTTGCCTTTATAAAGATATAATTATACAATATAACAAACTAGCAGAGAGGCCTGGCATTGTCGGGTAGGGAATAACTGCAAATATAACATTGGAGA